TGCCGTCAGCCAAGTGCCTGCTCCTTCAGTCCCAACCGGCCGCGGGGTCTTCTGTGCTTGTCATTCATTTTCTCTTCGTTGTTAGCTTGTAGGCCCGTTAATTCATATCGATTCCTTTAATTTCTGAAGGAAATTGCTACAAGGTTAAGATAGTACTGACACAGGCCATTTCCTTTATGTTTTTAATCTGTGTTTAACCATTCTGAAAAATTGCGTTGTGGTGAACTGGACCGTGCACGTAAAACAATCAAACAAAAAAGGAACCAGTTAGCATTTTAATTGAGCATGATATGATTTTGCCTACTCAAATTCAGCTTTAACTTCTTCAGGCCCATAACGTGAGATTTTTATGCCTTGATAGTCAAACCCCCCATCTTTTTGCTCTCCTCCAGAAGCTTGCTTGTTGGCCACAGGTCTTGGACAGGTGGATGTCACATCACTCCCGGGGCTCTGCAAGCTGGGGTGATGCACAAAGCGCCTGGAAGAAGCCCCTCAGCTCTCTCAGGTCTCCACAAAGCCATTTAAAAGCAAGTCCTCACAGCAAGGACTTACCAGATAGGAAAAGATGCGGAGGCGGAGTGTGAAGCTAGACAGGCTTTTAATCTACGCTGCAGTGGCTCTCCTCGCAGTCTGAGCAAAAATTTGGACTCGGACTTAAAATTTCATTAAAACAGTTGTTTGACAGAAACTTGGCTTAGCTGCGTCCACAGAGCTGCCTGTGGAAAGCAGATTGTTTTTTGCTGGAAAAACCTCTGACAAATTCCAGAAGCTACAAATTTGTGGTTTGGAAATGGCGTTCCTGGATGACATTCTTTTCTTTTGTCTTTGTTGGACTCGATGGTGGCTCACAAGGATGCGATCAGAGGGTGGCAGTGGTTGGTGGTTGATGTCTTTTGGTCCACTTTCGCCTCTGGCTGGAGCTCCTTGACTGTTGTAAGTCTCCAAAAAGCCGTAGCAGCCATGCAGTGTCTGTAGAGTGCGCACCGTAGTGTGTCCCAGGAAAGCCAGCCCAGCTGAGGGTCTTGGGTAACAATAAATTGGAGGCTCTGAATTTGGCTGGCCAGCACTCCTCCACAGAGCGCGATGAAGCCATGCAGCCGTGGTTTGATATTAAACTGCTTGAACAGCTTTTCCCACAGTGTTTTTTTGCTGCGAGTAAAAGGCTTTGAGGATGTGGGACCAAGATAAAACGGCTCCACTGGCTTCTTCTGAAACCTTCCTTGCTGGTCCTTTGACAGAGAGCACTTGTTTTCGTGTGGGTGGCCAGGCCAGCAAACAAGTACCTAAAATGAGATTTGGAGCTCTTGGTGTTGGCGGTGCTTTGTTGACCTCTGGACCTGCTGCCTCCCCAGTGCAGCACAGTCCTGTTCCATCTAGGGGATGAGTTTTCCCTTATTCTATTGAAAATGTGGATTTTCCTTGGGATTTTGTTTTTTTGGTAGGGTTTGTGGGTTTTTTTTCCTTTTCTCCCAGGTTTTTATCTTGATAATTACAAAGACATTTCTGTTCTAATTGCCAAAAAAATGACACATTCCCTGTAAGCAGCAGCCTGCCATACTTTAGGTGGGCTGCTAAAGCTTTTGGAGTTGATCCCAAAAGCTGTGCATCTCTGCGGTTTAGGAATGATGCACTTACATTTTTTCTAACAAACACGAACGGCGTATTTGCTACATTATCCCATCACCAGAAATGCAATAAAATGCCACGAGGCTGTTGCTATAGTCCTTTCTGTTCACAGAACTCCGGTCAAAATCAAAGAAGGGGTTTGGATGGAGGGTCCTGCATTTGCCACATGATGTCCACCAGGGCTGTTTGCATACGTATTAACCTCAGGAAAAAATACACTTCAAATAAAACACAGCAACAGATGTTTAAAAGGCTTCTGGATTCTGGAAGCACACTTAAAAGGAAATGGAGATCAGGCCTGAAGTCCACTGAAAATGATGGAGAGGCTGTATGTCTCAAGAGACCTTTGGATGGGCCCTGTCCTCCGATTGTTCTGAGATCCCAGGACAAATTCCCGCTCCTGTTTAAATTCATCCAATCTATGCCAGTGAAATTAGGATTTAATGCCAGACTCAAAAGCAGCTTTTAATGGCAAGATTGCCTCCAGTCTGTGACAGTGAGCGTGGTCAAGTCCTTGCTTAACTTCTTGGTTGCATTGAAGAGAGATGCTGGACTCCTCACTGCCCTTGCTGGGTTTTTGTTTCGATTTCTTTTGCTGGAGTTGTTCTGCTTTCTATAAATAACCACTGCGGCAGAAGCTGCAGCTACTGGCCTTGCACTGAGTTGTCCTAAGCGTGGGCTGCTCTTGGGGTATCTTGTTTTTTTTTGAAATTATTGCTGAAAGAGCCTGGGTTTGTGATGATGGTGTGTGAGCTGTTGAGAAGTGCTTGCTGTGAGCTGGGAAAGCGGCACGGCTGGAGCCCTGTCTGCCGTGGGCGTTGCCATCGGAGCCACTCGTGTTCTGGCCCAAATGCTGGCAGAGGTTATTGAGAGCATTTAGCAGCTTCTCAGGATACCCGTTTGGGTGAGGTGCCTCACGGCTACCTGGTTTGCACTCACACAAAAGCTGTGGAGATATCGAACCACCGCTGTTGACAGCGTCACGGGAAATAAATCGCTGCAGAGCGGTGTTCCCTACGGCGGGAGACCAGCAGAGTGTATCTGTTGTAGTATTTGCATTATACAGCAAGAGTATTTTCCCACTGCTGCACATGAGCCTTAATTTATACTGTATTTAAACATTCGTCCTGGAAGGCTGACTTTCAGAGACTCAGAACAGCTGCAGCTCCTGCTAAATCCACCAAAGTCAGCTGGAGCCGAGGGTGGTGTGAATTTTCTCCCTTCTAGTTAAATCCCTAATCGTCATGTTGAAAAGGTCCAAGTTTGGCTACTTGTGATAACATGCTGTCTGCAGCAGCCAGGCTGGAAAAATTGCAAGAAGGGGAACAAATTTAAGTATTTGTGTTGATTTTATGATTAAATTTCTGTAGCTTTCTTGATAAGCGGCAGAAGTATTAGAAACAGGCAATTAAGTGCTACCTTTTGGGTCATCTATATTTGCAGGCTACCGTGTTGTAGGGATTGGATCCAGAAGACCCCCCTTGCACACCTCTACAAAATGCATCTGAACATCCTGAGATGAACTGAAGATGGGTTGTACCCAAACCAGAGCGTGGTGCGGGGTGACAGCAGAGGGAGATGAGTGTTCATCTTCAAGGATTCAGTCAAACTTGCAGTTGTGTGTGTAACAACTGAAGATCAGTCATGAAAACAGGAACAGAAGGGGGAAAGGCAGAGTTGGTGCATTATTTCTGTTACAGCAGAAGCTCACAGTTGAGTTTTGGATGCAGGGAAGCTGCGGTGCTCCCTGAGCCTTGTGGGAGAAGGCTGGTGCCCCAACCAAGGAGATGAAACAATAGCTGGGACAAAGTATATGGAATTATTTCCTCCTTTACTGCCAGGAAACCAATTATAGCCACACTTCTCATTGAATAGTGTCTTGCAGATTTGATGAACATGTTTGCTGTACCTGCAGATGAATTTTCATAAGCAATGTTAGTACACTTACCTTCTTTGAGCATTTCTGGAATGCGTCTGTTGAAAAGATAGAATTAAATTTGCGTAGTCAGCAAAAAAGGAAAGGTAGTTAAGCCTATCAACAGTTTTCATTGATGGAGAAGTTGATGTGTTGAAGTGTAATGGGTTTTACAGAGCACGCCCAGTGCTGGGGGATCTTTTACTGTCACCAGTGTAGGCCACTTCGAAATGTCTGCTGTGAAGCTGGGATGACACATGCCTTTATTTCTGCATGTGATTTCTGCCTGCTCAGGCTATTTAAGTTTCTAGGGCAATTAAGAACTAAGTGCAGTTAAAAATGGTTTGAAGCAATTTCTAGCATGTTCTAGATCTGAACTACTTCATCAGTTGAAGTGCTCATGCTAAAATAAAATAGCAAAAAGGTATTTATAATCTTTGGGGTATTTTTTCCTGTTTGGAAGTTAAGGTCTCAGTGTATAAAACATTGGTATCATTTTCAATGTGAAAAGTAAAGGACTTCATGATAGGCATGTTTCCTGTCATGTGTCGTGGATTTCTTTCTTAGGCTTAGCAGTACATGCTATGAGTTTGGCAGAGCTTTTCCAGGTGGGTTCTCACCACCCTCCAGTGTTTGAGTCCTGTGTTCCACAGGGCTCAGCCCTCACATCCACACCCAGCCATGTTCTCCTGGTCTTTTTGAGGCTTCTTCACTTTTCACACCCCAGTTCCTTCCAGGAGGTTGGCTAGGGCCTGGGATATGACTGTCCTACATCCCTTTCATTTGGAAGAGGCCACCTGTCACTTGAATTCCTGTTGTTCCTAGTCTGGGAGGTGTGTGACACCCTGCAGCAAGCTCCATGTTCACCCAAGTGTCACCAGTCCTTGGGCTGGGCTTCCCCTCGTTGTCACAAGTATGGTTTTAACCTTCAATTTTTTGAACAGCTGTCCGTGTGTGACAAGGAGACAATATCTCTGCAGCTTCGACTGCCAAAAGGCCGTCGTGTACATGCATCGCATAAGGCGTACCCGATTTCTGCTGCCATGTTGATAGCTTCAGGGCAAAGATCTTTCTTTTGTGTGCAGTTTGTGTTTTTTTTTTCATTTACTGATCCCATTTACTGAAGAATGGGAAGGAAGTAGTCTGAGGAAATCAGGTTTAAAATCATTCATATACTGAGGGAATTTTGTACAGAGGCTGGTTGGGTGGGTAGGAATGGGCTGTTCTGCTAAATCTGTAAATTTTATTAAATAGGTTTCCAATAAAATTGGATGTACAAGGAAATGATTTATTGTTGTCCAACAGTGAGTAGAAGAAACTCTTGACTCCAGACTGTACAATGCGATTTTTGGAAGACTTTTAAATTACACTTGTATTTTGATTGAAGAATTAATGATTTTGTATTCTTCCTTAGTATATCTTGGACTATGTTTCCTTTTCTCTGTATTTTTTTTTCCAGACTGCTACGGGAACAGTGGATCAGAGCCAAATACGAACGAAAAGAATTCATTCACAGCGAGAAGCAGGAGCCTTATTCTGCAGGTAGCAAAAGACACTGTCAGCAGATAAGTTTTTTGATGTCCAGCATAATTTTTTTTTTGTGTCTCCATTTATATGTTCTTTATATTGATTATTACTTGTATGTCAATAAGGAGGAGGAGAAAGTGTGGTCTTTTGGGAAAGATCCCTCCTGACATTCTCTGTATTTGATTTGGAATATTGGGGATTGGGAATATTTTAATACCTGATGGAAATAAATCAGTTCTCATGAGTCTTTCTGTTGACTTCTGTGGGCTGTTCACCAACTGCAAGTCAGATAAAGTACCAGTGAGTTCGTTTCTTGTAGCAGGAGGCATGAAGCTGGGTTGAAATGGAGATAAGGGTGTTTGTCTCATCGAGGTGACTTTTGCTTTGGAAAGATGAAGTAGGATTAGTGTGGTTTGGTTAATGGTAGGTAAGTGTGCCAGGTCCCCTGCTCTTCCTGGATCTCTTGTTACTGTCTTTCCACAATACTTCAAGTGTTGTCAGTGGGACGTGGTCTCCTCGTAGTATAATAAACGCACAGCATTTTGCAATTGCAAAGACCTGGCACGTGTGACAGGGCTCGTTTCAGCACGCCCAGTGCGATGGGCAGAGTGACGGTGGCGTCGCAGAGGGTGGGTTGGTAGAGCAGGGAGTGGGGTGGTTTTCTTGCAGAAGGACAGGATCTGAAGAGGAGACGCAGGGCTTGACTGTATTCGTTGTGTGGCTGCACCAGTGTAAGGATCAGCATAAAAGTGCATGAAACTAGCTGGGTATTTCTTTGCTATATGTAAGTGGCATTTAATTTATTCTGCATATTAAGCAGTTGACACCAGCTATGTGCTTGGATGACTCTGGGATAATTTTATTAGCAAAGACCATGTTACAGATGAAAGGTTAAAATATTATTTTCATGCTGCTTTTCAAGACTAATAATAAGCAGGTAGCTCCAGCAGTTTGCTGTTATTAAAACCACAATTAAAATCTTATCTCATACATTCTCAATTTATGTTTAGAGCATTTCTGCTCTGCTATGTTGTATACATGAGGTGTGCACGTAGTGTGTGTGGGGTTTCCATATTCATATATTACACTGTGCACATTTTTATTTTAGATTTTCAAAGCAGTCTGCTGCAGTTGGACATTTTCTATTAACAATAAATAGTTTGATTCCTTAGATAATTTTGGAATATATCTGCCAGTGTGTGTATAACGTTCACCCAGGAATAATGTTTCCAATTTGTACCGTGCAACTTCTACATACAAAAGCTTGGATTCAACTAGGTCCTTCAGGCAAATGCCGAATTTTAAGCACATGATTAGTCCTTTCGACTCCAAGAAGAGCGTGTACCTGGTTAAAGTGAAGTAGATGCTTCAGTGCTGTGTGGGAAGAAGGGCAGCGTGTTCTGAGCTCTCTGAAAAATATTACAGGAAGAGTTCAAATGGGAGTTTATTTTTGCTGCGTATTTTGTAGTTGTTCTTCAGTAATGTGGCTGCAAAATATTGAACTGTATGGTGAAGCGATAGGGTTTTCTCCCCTCTCTTCGAAGTTCAAAAGCCATTAAATGCAGAATAGAAGAGAAGGAGGTAAGCCGTTTTAAATGAGCAGTGTTCTCGGGAGGAGAAAGGGAGGGGAAGGGAAGGCAGGCTAGTGGGCATCTTGTAGGTTGTGTCTGAGGGCTTTTAGGTTGTGTATTGTCTTTGAGAATTGTACCATCGTTAAAATCCAGGGTAGGAGGCGTGCAAATGACCCGTGCAACCACAATGTCATTTGTTGATTCTTCTGAGCAGTAAATTCAAAGGGGACCTTTGGCCAGGTGGTTCCTCCTTGGGATGACCAGGTTGGTGTTACAGCGAAACAAAGCTGGGGGGACCTACC